CTAATTGTGCCAAATACGTAGATACAATAAATACTTATTAATTTAAATGCTGTTATATTTATTTGTAAGTAATTTTTGGCATTCACATCGTCACACACATCATCAGCCTATAAGGGCCCTCTGCTGAGCAAAGCCCTCGTCTTACACAGAGTAGGCTCAATGTGTGTGTGTGCTAGGTTTTTTTTAAGGCTTTACTGATTCTAAATACTACAAAATGTGGCTAGAAATTCATAAAATGACTTTTCCCGCTCAGGGTTGGGCGGGAAGGAGTGTTAGACTCTTACTGACTAAAAATCACCCGTTACTTCTCCTGTTCTGGGCCGAGGCAGCGAGGCCTCATTGCGCTTACCCCGCATCCCCGGCTGAACATCAGCCCTATAGTAGGGCCCCATTTGTGACGGTCTATTGGCTCCGCAGACCCGCGCTTACCTTGGCCGGAGATCGTATATCGTACTCATTAAAAGGCCAGTAACGCGCCTGTGAGTCTGGTGCTGTAGGTTAGGTGTCCATGGGCGGCGCCGATCACTTACCATCAGGTGATCCGTCTGCTCGTTTGCCTCCTGCTTACGTATCTGTGTCATGATTTTTGTGTCTGCAGATAGGAAATTGTAGAGATACAACCTACATTTTTTTCTTTAACTACACGGGCAAAGGCATGAGTTATATAAAGCTAGTCTTACTGAACACACATTCACATAACATAAGGCACTCCAATTTCCGATTTTAATAGAATTTGATATCATTATCATTATGAACCTGATGGCGTCCACTGCTGGACATATAATATGTAGGCATCCCCAATTGCTCGCCACTGAGCTCGAGGTTCAGTTCTTCTCGTCCAACCACTGTTCGCTATCGGATGCCTGCGGGTATCGTCAGTCCACCTACATAGTTTAATGGACATACTTGGATATATTATAGTCTAGAGTAACATAAAACACATAACCTTCTTTTCTTCGAAGTAACGCAGTCAAAGCCGCTAGCAGAAACTATTATATAATCTTGATTTCACACGAAATATCTTCAAAAACGGTATTGAACCCGGGATTTCACCTATGTACAATATTTGGATAAGCAATGCAATATTTTGTTTGACACGGCACATAAAATATATTTAATCAAAACCAATATTATTTTTTGGCGGTAAACAGATGGATGGATGACCATGTAGATAGCATTGTAGGTATTCTAGATTTAAAAAAATATTTATATCTCTAGGTAACCTACTCTGATTAGGCATAGAACAAAGAGAGCCGTCTCACGTTTCGACTGTGTGTTTTTCTATGCGCGATCAACTCCAAAACTACTAAACGCGTTTTGATAAATTGAATTTGTTTGACGTTCGCGCCTTATAATTCGCGAAGCAAGAGGCAAAGGTTTTATATATAATTGTGCTTTAGCTGTGGGGGGGAAATTAATCAAATCCCTTCTTTCGCCCTTTGTGAGGCGAGAGGGAGTGTCAGACTCTTACTGACCAAAACCCTCCCCTTCCTTTTCCCGCTCCAGTCCGAGGCTGCGGTACCTACGTTATTGCGCTTACCCCGACTGATCATCCTCCCTGTTGGTCTCCATTTTTAGTTCTATGTTGTCTCTTGGACGCTCTGGTCTGGTTGTTGTCGGGCGGCGTGCTACCTGGGAATTGGGAGAAGTAGAAGAAGAGAAGGATTGGGCTTCCATTAACTCTATGACTCGGCCAAAACATTTGCCGTAATCTTGACATTTCCGCTGGTTGATTTCAACCAGCTGGATCTCTAGTTCTTCCACAATCTCTAGTTCTTGTAAAAAACAAATGTTTTTATACTCTGCTCCGAACTTCTTGAGACGAGTAGAGTTGTCTTCTTTATCGACAACCAAGCGAAGAAGATTGAGATCTCCAAAAATAAGTACCTAGGTACTTATCACTCAAGAATATGCAGTTACCATAACCCTTTTTAAACTGTGCACAGTTTTGTATCTATAATACTTACAGTCGCGCATTCATTCAACGTTATTAGGTACCTACACAAAAAAAAACAAATTCGCGTACATATTGTCCATACATACATACATACAATTCATGGTCATATTGTTGTGTTTACGGCATACAAATTTTAAGAGGCGGGCATCGAATCTCGACCGAGTTCTGACTGCTAATGAACTCAAATTTTACGAGCTATGTCGCTTACATAATATGACGTAACGTCTTTATGTCTGTTTGTATGTACGATATAATAGCCATACATCCATTGGTATGTTTTAATGTTTCATAAAATGTCTAATCTAACTAACACCCAGTTTCTGAAAGGTTTGTCAACGCTAAAGTTAACTAATCTCCTGTTAAATCTCTTGTCAAGTCATCTGATTGGTTGTTGATAATTCGGTCAACCAATCAGATGACTTGACAAGAGATTAAATTGATTTTAACATTGTTCGGCCTTTCGGAAACCGGGATAAGTATAGGGTGTAAGTTCTAATAATAGGTAGGTAGGTATAGAAGGAAATTTTTGTTAACAGCATAGGCATCGAAATAAATGGGCCAGTTTCAAAAACTCTTAGGTACCTATATCATCAGAATATCATTTATTTGCAAATTTGACTAAGTGTTACAAAGTGGGTAGTATTAAATTTACATTGGGTTCTGCCATTTTCCAGCATTCGGCATGCAAACAGCTTCGTTATACATATACCATTGTTAAAATTTTAATCCTTATATTAAATTAATTACCTATCATGTCATTCTCATGAAAACAGATTTAAAATTCTTTTCAATAAACATCAGCAAAACCATTAGGTCAATTGATAGACTTAAATTATCCTTTCAATAGGTTTATTTGCAAAGATTAATAAATATTATTAATATTTCTTATCTCCATATTTCAACAGCATCGGGAACTAATCTGTACCTAGATTTTGAACGACAACTCGCCACCTGCTTCCATTGTCTCTCGGAGACTCTGACGACGTCCTAAGTAAATACAATCCTTAAAATGTTCAACTATTTATCAACCAACCATATATAGACGAAACTTATGCAGATATTAATTCAAAGAAAATATGGACAACTAAAATGGCATCATTCTAGCTATCCATAAAGAAAACGCATTATATCACGTCATCATCATCATCAGTCTATAAATACCCACTGCCCCACTACCCCAAAGCCCACTGGTGAGCAAAGGCCTCTTCACACACGGAGAAAATTTTAGCATAATCACCACTCTTGTTCATGGCAGATTAGCGAATTCAAACTTGTATTCATAATTAAGTATTATAAGTCCGGCTTTCCTTACGATGTTTTCCTTCACCGTATGTCAGTGTTTTAAATAATCATAGAAAGAACATACAACTCGGAAAAGTCACATTGGTAAAAACTTGCCAGGTTTTGAACATCCACCCTCATGCATGTATGAGGAGCAGGCCCCTTAACCTCCGGAACACCAAAACCATAGTTATGTTACATCATGTTTTAATAATTAAGTTCCAATGAAATTCATAGATTTATGAGCGCCGTACCTTACTCAACTAAAGTAGCCATAGACTAACTATAATATACTTGATTATTCTATACCAGTAGTTGGGCGCCTATCACACAATAAAATAAATTGCAAAGGCTTAAGCTCATTTCATCAAAACGCCACTACGTGTAGCTATGTACATTTATCATGTAAAGCATAGCCTCGCTCTGCTACGTCGGTTAAATAATTGTTTCTATTAAGTACCTATTATTTGGCAGTTCGACACGTTTGCACGTGCCTATTGGGTTCGGCTCCCGCCATCTTGATTTTAATGTCAAATCAAATCAATGTTTTTTTTTCTTTTAATATTTGTTTCTATGGTAACTGTGTGTGCAGCTTATAAAGGCCTAATTATCTATTAGGAACTGTTCCGAGGCCGTAAGCTTGGCATTTTTGGCTAGATTTTTGAAACTTAAACATTATTAGGTAGGTATTATGTAGGTACATTATGACGATACAATAACAGTGCCGAAAGCAAAATAAGTTGGTAAAATAGGACAAAGAGAGTCTATTTTTAATAAGGGTTTCACATAAATTATGTAAGTACTTTACTAATTTAGTAGATAATATTATAAGTTAATGTTATCTATAAAGGTACCCACTAAAGAAGGGACAATATCAGTAAACTTAAAATAACTGTTTGCCTTCTATGTTGATTAATAAATAACTTTGACTAATAAATAAACAGATAGTTGCTTAGGTACCCACTAAGCATATATTTATTTTCATTCAATTTGTCCTTGACATTACACTTCCATTCCTAATTGTATTAGTTGGTAGATAGGTAGGTAGTCGCTGACTGTACTACCTACCTATAACAGTACCTACCAATTTAACATAAGGGACTTTTCAGGTATCTAGTACTTAATCACGTGTAATAAATTACAAAACTAAAAGATATGGGCTAGTGATAATGCTTGGGAAACTAAAGTAATAATGTAGGTAGGTACCTATCCAGGTAGATGGGTCTATCACCACCCCCCTTATTTTTAAAGCTTAGAAACAAGCCTACATGATCAAATTTACAATGTACACAAGTATGGTTAAAACGGTCATTCACGTTTTTATGGGTTTATTGATATTAAACTCAATTCGAAAAATTGATTACTCAACATGATTAGAACATGAACAATGAATAAAATGAATCATAGGTAGTTAACTGGTAGCATGACTCATTATTACGCTACTGCTGCCATCTAGCATCACGATATGCAAACATTTAACCTCTTTTATTGGTGAATGTGACATGAGTCACGTTGGCAATAATTATACGATGTACACCGATAGATGGCAGAAGTAATGGAAACATTTTTAAATAAAATTATTAAAATTAAAGATAACATAATTTTTATATTTATTTTATTATATGATATATTGATAATACATATTTTTTAACTATAAAAATGTGCATACTTAATTTTTTTATTATGTGAAACAAACTTGGCTGTTTACAACGTTGATCTTTGCTTGCGTTTAGGTACGAATTTCTATTGCACAAAAAATAAAAAAAAGTGCGAGGTAGCGAGAAATGGCGTCGCAAGTTGTTTTTTATTCGTAATCAATGTGTTTCTAATCATTATAGATGATTGTAAAAGCTATACGTATTGTTAAGATAATACTGATCAGTTCCGTCGATGTTTAATTGAAGAACTGTGGTTATATTGACGTGATTATATCTTTGACCGTCGGACAATGGCGTCGTCGAACGAAGCGAGAGTTACCAATGTAAAAGTTAGTGAAAATCGCGATTTCATGGACAATTACTGTGGCTCCAAAAGCTTAGGAGATGCCGGCGAAGGTGCTAAACGTCGTCGTACAACATACGACTGTAAAAATGTGTCTCAACAGGGATGCGGGACAAGTGTGTCAACTGATCTAAAACATACACCATCAACTGAATCCAAAGGTACTATTTCGTTCTATATGTACTTACTAATTTAGCACACATCGATTTAGAATATTCAATAAGGTTGCTATACTAGTTTATTGTATTTCCTCTGTTAATATTTTGGTGGGAAAGATGTTAACCTCTCATATTGTGAATTACATCATTAGCACTGAGGTCGTAGGTGTTTATAAACACAACACACGCTTTCCATACGGCATTATAATCTTTTTCGTTATTCAGCATAGTTCTTTTCTTTCTTCGAACCCTATTGAAGGTGAACAGATATAGTTTTGTATGGTTTTAAGGCCCTTGCATCATTTCGACCTTGAGAGTTGCTAAACTAGTACTTTCTATTTAATTTTATAACTGTACATTGCAACTATTCCATTATAAACTTAAGGTTATAGATATTGACTATAAACCTTGGTCTTGGTTTGTGAAAATATTGTCTATTGTGTTCCAAATTCATTTGTCACCGTTAACATCACATAGTCTATGATTTCCCAGTTATTTCATATAGGAACTTCATATTTTTTTTTTATTAAGTAAATTTTATACTAAGCAGAAACATGAATTTATCCTTTATAATGATTTTTAAAACGGCATTGATCAGTTTAGTACATCATATAAATTGTTTTAGGTTTTTCTACAAACATGTTTTCATCCACAGAATCTATAGTTCTCAATCATGTAGAATTGTTAATCATCAATCTTTAGTTATTTTCTCTCAAAAAATGTTGTTTTACTAGGTGGGAACAGTATTGTAGTCCAGATCATTTACTGTTTACCTCACCTATTTACTTTTATTTTCTGTTATGTATTGTATTTACATGAAAGTATCATGTACATACAGGTGACTTTATTTTTATATTTGAATAACAGTGTTACACTGTTCTCACATAATTGAACCAACTGTTTGTAAAAGGAATCTGTATGTGAAACTGATGTAAAAAGAGCAACCATGGAGTTTCTTGCTCGTTTTTCTCCATCGGAATCTACACTTTGGAACGAGCAAATAGCTTCACTAAGAGGGCTGACCGACAGACTGACAGTATATCTTCAAAATTTTGTTTGACGTTCAAAAGTGCCTGTAAAGGTCTAATTGGAATAAATGATTTTTGACTTTTTTTGACTTTTGACTTTTACATAACAAGACAATTTAAATAATACATATAATACAACATTAATAAATATACACTTTGAAACTAAAGATTTGGGATCAATCTTTTAAATGTACAACTAAGAATGAAGGTGTTTTTACCATTATCACCATTATAAATAAATAGTACTAAAAATCAAACTGTTGCATCTTTTTTAAACTTAACACAAAACAAAACTAAACTCACTATGTTACAATAAAACTTTTAAACACTTGGACCTTTTTTGATATGTGGAACCCTACATACAAGACATGTCTACAATTAAAATACGTAATGTCTTGCATGATTTCACTGTCTGTCAAATATATATAATTTTTGAAGTTGCCCTATGCTACAGTTTTCTTCTGTGTCATAGGAACATTTAAAAACATTCCAATTTACAGACACAAGCCACACCAAACCGGTAACATCAATTTGTGGATCACACAAATTCATTTATGTTGTAGTCAAAGCAGATATTAAAATTCTCAGTTCTGTTGTGGAGTACTAAGAAATTAGTAGTTAGTACAGTTTTACACCACTGTCAGCAATAAGCAAATCTACAAGTTTCCTGTTACAATTGAATAAGTGACATAACTTTGAACCTTACCATTTATTTCTCAAAACATTATCTTCCAGTGTTTTTAAGTATGATTAAGTAACTTATTATCATCATAATTGGGTAGTCTCCTAGATCAAAAATGTTCAATGTTTCAATACAATTAAAAATTGAAAAATCAGTATAAGTACTTTTATTCATTGATTGATCAATACACAAAGTTTTAGATGTTTTTAATAATTATTTCATAGAAAAGTATTGTTTTTGATGTTTGGATAAAATATTGAATTTGACTAGTTGGAAACTACCGTATTGTCCATCTACTATAATACATAGGTAGCTTCATCAGCACCGCAATGAAAGTAAGAAAGAAATTGGTTTTATTGGGCACAAAACATGCGACAATTACCAAAATAACATTCAAATATGATTAAATACCCATACCAAATAATTTGCAACAGAAGAAAAGAAAACATAATTAAATGGAATAAAATTAACAAAGTCTGACTTATACTGCCAGACAGTTGACAATGCTCTTACTCTAGACAGCTACTATGTGCACCCTATTTTTGCAGTGTCACTTACTCTATACTATTTTCTTCTTCACCAAAATATAAAAACAGCATTCAGATTTGTTATTACTTTACTCTTTGATTCATAGTTACTACCTAATAAGTAATAATCTTTTCTTCCTTATTTTTTTCTATCAGTTTGAAGTAAATTCAGTATTTTTGTCTCAAAAAATTAGATTATCCATGTTAACATGAAGTGGGTGTATTTATGTAAAATATAAGTATTTGGAGAGGAAACTGAAGAATCTATACTGTAAATATTATGAAGAGAAAAGATTTGATTGTTTATTTGTTTCAATTTAAGTAATAAGTTTGCGAAACAGCTTTACCAATTTGAACGAGGCACAGCTAGTACTTAATTTACAAATCCATGTCAATATATTTGTTCTGCAATAAGAATAAGACAATCCAATAAAGATTACTCATTCAATATTATTAAACACTGTTATTTATCGATAAAACACAGCACTTCCTTATTCCTAGTGGTATGAAGTGATAATCAAAGACAGGTCTTACCTACTACTATCAGGGTATGAAGGTCTTACCTACTTAATTTTTTTTTACTTCAATCAAATTCTTTGATAAATGAATTGAGAACTATACATATAAATCTATTTTTATCTAACTAACTTTTAAGTGTCTTTTGCCATGTTAAACTATATAAAAAAATTAAATTCCGAAAGATTGAAGAACTTTTTGTATGTATGCTGAACAGGAAAAATTTCTTTTCAATTTGCTAAATCATAGAATGTTGTCTTTAGAAAAATTGTGTTCAGATTAATAGTTCGTTTTTTTAAGAGAAATACATTTTTACAAAGTTTAAATATCTTCAATATTTATGCATTTAGAGTCATAGAAATTTTATGCAACCATTTGTTCATAGCATTATTAAAAATTGGCTACTTTTATATTTTTGATTGTGGTAAAAGTTGCCTTCCTGGTCACATAGGTAATTGACTACTTGGAACCTGACAAAAGTCCAAATCAATATATTTTAATATCAAACTGTAAAAAATTATGCATTATGTTTGAAATAGCATCACCTGCTTATTACTCTTAAAATATCTAAAAAAAATCTTCAATAAAGTGTATGAAAGAAGGGAATAAGTTGAGAATGAAGGTATGATTATTTTTAAGTATTTTTATGGTTCCAAGTTGAAATAATTTCTTTTTGATAATATTTTATTTTTATTGCCAATATGTACAGTTACAGTACAATATATAATATAGTAAGTAGCTCTATTATATTTATTAGCTATATTAATTATACTAAAATCAATTGTATTTAAAGCATTAAAAAGCCTTAATAATTTATCATCCTATTCCTGAAAGTCAAAGAAAATTAAAAGTAACTTGATTTCCTCCTCATTACTTTGAAAAAGGAAAATAATACAGTTTTCCTTGTAATGTTAATTCAAGATTTATACTAAGTTTCTTGTTAAGGAAATAATTTTGAATTGTGATCATAAATAATTTATTATAAGTAGAAGGTATTCTATTATTACTTAAAATATAAAGAAATAATTAATTTGTATAATGATGATTATTTAAATAATTCTAATGACATTAATGTTACGACTAACACTTGGTAAAAGCACATTTCCTACTCTAAATATATTTTGTCAGTTAAATTATACTACAATTACTTAAAAGAGAGGATAGATAAGTGGAATAGGGGATAACAGTAATTTTAAAATAACAAGATACTCAAATGAACTAACTGAGAAAACTTCTAGAAGTTTCAAGTCACAGCAACTCTTATATTAAGTAGTTGCACAGTCAACATAAAATTTTTTTTTTTAGAAATTTAGAATCTTCTGTACACCTAGATACCATCATGCAGAACTCATCATAACTTGGCGACAATGATCTTGGACTTTACTTAAACTTCACTACTACTACTTTACTTTATCATTTTACTATTTCATAAATCAAAATAATATATATAAGATAGGTGTGCATCCTCAAAATAACTGTTTGTTTTGTTTTGCCACATAACACGGCATTAGCAAACACCATCACTTACTTTTGTTACTTAAAATTAATATAAGTATTTGTCTGTAAGTCGTCCTTAAAACTAAATAAACAAATTAAAGCAGTAACTTTAGGTAATAGCTGGAACAAAATGTTCTGGACAAAACCAGCATCTAACAAGATAATATTGACCTGAGATCCTACAGTTTCACACTGAAGGATCATAGAAGTTTAAAGGCTAGATTCCAAATAGGCAAATATAAAACTTTCTCAAAGTGTCAAGAAAATAATTTTTGAAAAAAATTGTGTGGCAGCGCAAGTTATGACATCATAACTTTATTACATCAAATAGTACATTTATTTTTCTTCAATTTGCTAAAAAAAATGGAAACCCAAGTATAAAATTATATTAATTATTAAAACAGTAATTTGTTCGTTTTTAATCATTTTTAGATTTGAAATGTTAAAATAGCTAAGTAAGGTTGAGACTTTTCCTACGAGTTTTTCAGATTATAAGTAGTTAATATCGAAATTAAATGGTGATACTTATCCTACACAGAATCAGAGAACATAAGGCAAACTTCTGTTAAAACTATGTATTAACAATCTTAACCATATGGTGTGTGTACAATTAATAATATTATTAACTACACCAATGTAATTCCTTCTAGTCTGTAGGCAACTCATCAAAATGCTACTCACATCCACATGACTACATATGTTGCAGTTTTTGTATCAAGTTATAATTAAATACAGTTTACATGGCAAGTTATTGCTTATTAAATGTACACTTATCCTATTTTGGATTCCTAGACTAGGATTATTTTACTAAAGTCACTATAATATGCTCTCATATGAATATTTTTTATCTATACCTATACTAATATTATAAAGAGGTAAAATTTGTAAGTTTGTATGTATGGGGTAATCTTTGGAACCGCTGGTCGGATTGCCAAAGTTCTTTCACTGATAGAAAGCTAAAACATCACGCTACGATCAAATGGAGTTGAGCAGCGGGTGAAACCGCGAGAAAGTAGCTAGTTTATTATATTTTATTTGGTGTTGAACTTCTGTGTTGTAAAGGATATACCTTTATGTGTAGTTTTGCGTTCTATTATAGCTATGCGGGGTTTTTAATGGATAGAAATAGTATTTAAATTTATTAATAACATTAGCTAATAAGTAATAATCAATAATAAAATAACGGGCAGCACATCAAACTGACTTTTTCGCGGATATGGGGGTCTTTATAAAACCCATTTTTTTTAAATAGGTGAAGAAATGCGATGTTATGAATTCTGCATTGTTTTCTAAAATTTGAAACTTATTATATTCATTATTTTTACAGGTAAAAAGCGCAAGCTCAGCGAAACATCAAAGGAGCTATGTGTATGGGGCGAAAACACTCGGCCGTCGAAACAAAGCAAGATATGGCCGGTGTTCGACTCCGGAGGGTACGGCAACGGGGCTGTGCTGAAGCTCAATGTCCTCAAGAAGACACCACCCATCAAAAACCCCCTACTTTTCCACACAACCTGCAACCAGGACTTCGAGCTATCAGAGATCAACCGCGATCCCTTCAAAGCAGACTGGTTTGGAGGTCTCCATGCCTGGTGGAAGCAAACACAAATGTCCAACAAAATGGCTGACGATGACGTGACAAAGAAAATATTTTCCTCAGTGTCTCGTCAACTGAGAATCATCAACACCCATTTTCAAAGGTCCATGTTCAAATACAAGTATCCTAGGGTAACAAGACAGAATGTCCTATTAGAGAACTCCTCTGGGATTCGTAGACCAGCTACTCATTTTAACCTGACGCTGAAGGCCATTAGGTTCCAGTGCAATCCCCGCAGAGAGTTGCCCTGCTATGGCAATCTAGAACTGCCCTTAAAGATAAAGCAAGAGAATGTCAATTCGCAAATGTTTCCTGCGATAAGAAGTGTAAAGAGTGAAACAGTGAGTGACGTGAAGGTTAAAGTAGAGAAAGAGAGGGACAGGGAGAAGGAGAAGGAACGAGAGAGGGACAGGTGAGAGATTTTTTTATATTGAATTAAATTTTTATTACCTGCCTTGATAATGCCAGGAGTTAGTTAATATATCCGAGTCGGTCTTGCACTCAATCTTTTACCAAAAGAATGTTATCTGGTAGACTTTATTTTAAAATAGCTAGCTAGGAGCTCTAGTGTTAGTTCCGCTCTTCCCTAGTCGTCCTAAGGCATAGTCAAAAGTCCAAGTATGTCTTCATCCTAAAAGAGCCAATATACCACCACAGTGAAAGCCCTACAGGGCTGATGTTTAGCCGGGGTTGCGTGGTAAGCGCAATGTAGCACCGCGGCCTCGGCCCAGAGCAGGAGAAGGAACGGGGTGTGAATGCTGCTCATGAATATGGGCCTCTAGCATGGCTTGAAACTAGTCGAGTATCTCGTCAAATTATTACGTGAGTAAGCCGAAAACATAATAAATAATTTAGAATGTCTCACGAAAGTTATAATAAAAAAGTCGAAAATAATCTTTCAGACTTAGAAATATTTCAAAACCATGGAACCGGAAAATCTCGCATCTAACCAACTAACCAACCTTTATATCTCCAGGTCATCCCACCGCCATTCTTCATCATCATCATCATCGTCATCCTCCTGCCACCACTGCCGCCGCCGCGCTCGCATCAAGCGGTGCTCCATCGGCGTCCAGTGCCGCAGAGACAGGGCAGCCGGAGCACCCCTGCCCAACGACAGCTGGGGACCTCTAGCTGAGACACCCACTGTCAAAGAACTTAAGTATCATAGGTGAGTAATCTAGAGCTAGGATTATATTAGCTACGTAACAAAAAAATTAGGCCTTTTCTAGTCTTAAACATCTCAATGCCAGTACTAATAGTAAGTACCTGTGTTTTTGTACATTTTTAATTAAGTTCAATATGCTGTGTAAGTGAAATTACTGGAGGCCTAACTTACCTCCACTCCCTCCTCAAAATCGAAACCCGAAAAGGCTAGCAACGGGACAGGATTCAAGCAATCGGCCAAAGGAGTTACGAGTGCCTTGCCGACCTTTTGGGGATAGGGATTTCGAATATTTATGGATTGGATAGAAATGGGAGAGAGGGGGGGATTGGCCTTCCGGTAATCTCACCCACACTGCGAAATACAATGTTATAAAATTTTCCATATTTTATTGTATTGAAACGTCGAATTCATTTATTTTTGACCTGGGAAACTACCCAATTGTTTTCCCTCGTCGTAATTATGATTAAACGTTAATTAAATATATGTTTTCTTGACAGACTTATGCGAGTGGAGACGCATCCGAATGGCGGAGCTAGCGTTGTGTACTTACACCAGCGTGACGTGGACATGTTGAGCGCACCGCAACAGGAGGCACTCGCCAAGGAGTTCTTGAAGGTATGTGGAAATTTTGAAACAATTTTTTTTTTTTTAATATGTTAATCGTTCAGAATGACTTTACCAGTCTTAATATTTTATTACTTTTGGATATAAAGAGTTGAATATTTTACCCAGTGGTGTGTTATTGAAAAGAACATGGTTCAGCATTGGATGAGAATAAAAAAATGTGATGAGGTTCAACTGTAAGATACACAAGATAATGATAGATATAGGAGATAAAATAAACAAAATAATCTTGGTAAAAAGCTACATTATTTCTTGCCAGGAGCAAAAATTATGAAATTAATTTCCAACAGCTAATTATCAATAAGACAGCAAACGAGCCAGCTTTACCAGATGATAAGCAATAGGAAACCACTGCCGTGATTTGAGTGCGTTGTTGGCCTTTTGGGGATTGGGGGAGGGAGAACCGGTAGCCTCACTCACATGGTGAAATACAACGTTGGTTGTTGCAACTACGCTTTGATCTTTTAATTCCTAGGTTAAAAATAAATTAATTCTATGTTTCAATACAATAACATAAATAACACTATACTTTCATACACTAAATTTTCGATATTTTTTCAGCAAATTTTGAAGAAATAAGTAGGTTATTTGACGTAAAAATATTATGACGTCATAACTCAGTATTACATACAAATTCCATAGAAAAGTATCGTTTTTTATATTTGGATAAAAGTATTGAATTTGATTAGTTGGAAACTACCGTATTCCCTTGACTGTGATGACTATTACTGTGACTCCTCTGGTGTTGCAGATGTCCATGGGCGGCGCCGATCGCTTACGTATTCCATAAAAAACTAAGGTAATCTGTTGTTCCAGTTGGTGTTCTCGGAGGACAGCGAGGGCTGGGCGCACTTCGTGTGCGGCGTGGTGCGGGGCGCGGCGGGCGCGTTCCCGTGCCTGCTGCAGTACCTGGCGGCCGCGCACCCCGCGCTCTCCGTCAAGGCCGGCGTGCTCGCGCGCGCCTCCGACATCGAGACCACCACGCTCAGCAGATACTACCAACAGGTCACTTTTATATCTCAAACTTACACATTCTATATAACAAATGTGGCGCTAGTGTAGCAGAATGTCTCATCAAGTTCTCGAACCGCGACCTTGGCCCAGAGCAGGAGAAGGAACAGGGGGGTTTTTAGTCAGTAAGAGTCTGATACTCCCTCCCGCCCGGCCCTGAGCGGAAGAAGTCATTTGATGATTTTGCCCTCCCAAAAAAAAAACTCGTAGAAATCCAATAGATTTTCGGCCTAATTTATGAGTTGAGCAGGGAAGTCTCCTGATGGTTATGAGATGAAGCGTCTAGCAATAGAAGTGATATAAATACGTTACCGGCCCTTTAGGCCATTAAGCCTTTGATTGCCGACAGAAAACTATCGAAGGCAAATCCTTCGCTATCGTAGGTCACCAGTGACCTCCGTAGCGCTTAACGTGTTAAGAAGCGGGGAATTGGGGCCTTGGTGAATATATCTTACACCACTTTTCTGTGAAACCGATGTAGAGACGAAAATGCACTATGACTTATTCAACGCAACGTTGCACTTTTGCGATGTTAGACAATCACAGGCTTGTCAGGTTACGATTCGGTCGCACATATGTATAATCTTGAGTGAACTTTACCCTCTTTAATTCATAATTTGACCCCGTGCCTCAACACCTTGGTTCCGATCGAACTGACTCCTTCATGCTGAATTAAAATTCCGTCATATGAAATTTGTTGACTTATATCTAACACTTGTTATCTAGTTATCATCATTAATCTAAATATACTTATGACTGTTGAGGCACCTTAAAGAAATCGGGAAAGTTAATTTTTTCAACTATATTTTTTACACTTACACCCGGTTTCTAAAAGACTTGTCAACACTAAAATTAACTTATCTCCTGTTAAATCTATTGTCAAGTCATCTGATTGGTTGTTGATAATTCAGTCAACCAATCAGATGACTTGACAAGGATTAAAGATTTTAACATTGATCGGCTTTTCGGAAACCGGGTGTTAATATTTTAGATTAACTACCAGTGCAACATATCAGCATAAACCGTAATGTTGTATGTGTAGTAAAATTGTATATAAATAAACTGTTGTATTGTCTATGATTAGTATTACTAATCAGTGTCGCACTATAATTGTTTATGTCGTCATATCACTATAAAGAGGGTGGCCGAGCGAGTGTCGGCCATTGACAATGTAACTCTGGTGCAGTGAGCTGCAGGACTGTGTACTATATAATTAAAGTCAAGTATCCAAGATCCAAGTCTTTCAATCATATTACATGGTGTCAAAAGTGGGATTCCAACCCACGCCCTCACAGTGACAAAATAAACATTAGTATGTGCCCTTGGTTTTGAACCCTCAAGCTTGAGAAGCGAAGAAGAAGCACGACAACACGTAGCTACAACATAAATGTATCTGTCCGTAGGTGCAACAGTCGTACGCGGCGGGCACGTTCCGGTGCGGGCCGCTGCACCAGATCTCGCTGGTGGGCACCGTGCACGAGGAGGTCGGGGGGTACTTCCCAGACATGCTCGACATGCTCGCCACCTGCCCCTTCCTCAATTTGGTCAGTATTACATACATACCTATACACCATTACATAATACTAGCTTCCGCCCGCGACTTCGCCCCGGTATGTTGATAAAAGTAGCCTATATCCTATTCCAAAGTGTATCGCACACAGCTCACGGGCATACCCTGTGCCAAATTTCTTCCAGATCCGTCTACGTTTTGGCGTGATTGAGTAACAAACATCTATTAATAAATATTATTTATTAAGATATTTTGTCATAATGCAGATTAAGATGCTCTAATTACTAGTAACTAGTAGATAGTATGTGTTGCATTCGTCCGTGCGTCACTGCAGGGGTGCCAACTGAAAATCAGTGTTGGGTGCTCTGTGCCCAGCTTTTGCTGAGTTGGCGACCCTTTCGGATTGGGCATGTCCGCCAACCCAGGTTTGTATTATTGTACTTTGTTTGGCTGTTTTCACGTTATTGTTTTGATTAATTTTATTTTGTTGTCCTGTTACTTCAAACTTTTATTGTTTTGTTTTTTTTTATTGTTGTATTTTTTTTTTGTTTATTCTTGGCCTTCATATCTCGGTCCGAATAAAAACAGTTTTCTTTCTCTCTTTTTTCTTTCTTACATCCAAACATCGTAACTTTGGCATTTATAGTATTAGTAATAAGATAGGTATTAGGTTTTTTATGGGAAAGGTCGGCAAACGAGCAGTCTGGTAACCTAATGTTTAGCAATCGGCGCTGCCCATCAACACCCGCAAGATCAAAGGAGTTATTAGAGGTTTGCCGGCGTTTTAGGAATTTGGGTTTCGGTTAGGGATAGGCAGAGGGGGAGGGATTGGGTCTTCGGTAACGTCAGTCACACGGCGAAACGCAACGCTGTAGTTGTTGTATTATTATTGTATTACTAAAAAATATATTATTAACAAAATATGTTGCCTCATACTAGCATTTTTTCCTGTGTCGTAGGTGCGTAAAAACATATAATTTCACACACAGGACGAACTAAACAAATGCTTTCTAGTAAACATTAAAATTGTTACCTATGCAGTCTGAATATTTTGTCTCCTTGTCCAGACAATGCCGTGGGGCCCAATGTCTGCAGTGGAGATGGAGCCGCAGGAGTCCAACGATGGCCCCATCCTGTGGATCAGGCCCGGAGAACAGCTTGTACCCACTGCAGAATTAGGGAAGAGCCCTATTAAAAAGAGAAGGTATGTCTTTATGAATTCAATATTTATTACGCATAGTGATATACTACTCTGTCAAGAAAGTACCGGGAAAAAGTCAATAATACACAAAATGTTTTTTATACATCTAAATTTATTTTATCACCTTCAAAGTATGCTCCTTCAGAAACGATACACTTACGCCAACGAATAATCCAATCATCGAAACTTTTTTTAAACGCTGTTTCCGGAATTGAGTTCAGTGCTCGCCGCGAATTCGCCTTTATGTCTTCTAACGATTGAAAACGGGTGCCACGAAGGGGTAATTTGAGTGTGGGAAAAAGAAAGAAGTCGGCTGGAGCCATATCTGGTGAATATGGTGGCTGCTCGATGGTGTTTGTTGAGTGTTTGGACAAAAAATCGTTTACAATGATGGCCTTGTACGAAGGCGCATTATCGTGATGCAAAATCCAAGAAATTTCTTTCCACATTTCTGGCCTTTTTCGTCGAATTTGTTCTCTTAAACGCCGCATAACGCTTAAATAATATTCTTTATATACCGTTTGACCTTCGGGCAAGAATTCTGAGTGCACAACACCGCGATAGTCAAAGAAAACAGTCAACATGACTTTGACTTTTGATCGACTTTGACGTGGTTTTTTCGGTTTTGGTTCAGTTGGAAGGCGCCATTCCGAAGCTTGTTGAGTAGTTTGCATGTCAAACTCGTAAACCCACGTCTCGTCACCAGTAAAAATGCGTTTCATGAATGTTGGGTCGGTATTGACTCGTTGTAGCATGTCCTCAGCGACTTTCAAGCGATTTAGTTTTTGAAGAAAATTCAGGTCTTTTGGGACTAGCCGAGCGGCAACACGTTTCATACCCAAATTATTTGTTAAAATAGTACGGATCGACTCGTGAGATACAGAAAGTTCGGCGGCCATCACTCTCAAACTTGAATGAGGATTTTCAGTCACTATTTCCTTCACTTTTGCGATGTTAACTTCAGTTGCAGACGTTGATGGCCTACCAGAACGAGGCAAATCTTCCATCACATCTCGACCGCTTTTGAACTCTTTGTACCACTCATAAGCACGTGTTTTTGATAAAGTCGATTCACCGTAAGCCTTCTGTAACATTTTGAGTGCCTCCGAACACGAAATTTCATTGGCGATGCAAAATTTAAGACAAACTCTTTGTTCGATGTTTTTGTCCATTATGAAATTCGCAATACACACTAGATATTATAAAACTAAAAACAGCACTGTTTTTAACACGGAATAGAAAATACAGTGGAAGTGCCGCTCAGACATCGTGCGCTAACCAACATGATGAGTAGATATACAACATTTTGGCACATTTGTTGTCAGAATAGTTCGATCCGTTGTCATGATTGGTTGTCATTGTTGTCTCTAAGAAACACGAAATATATTAGAAATTATGCCTTATTGTGCGGTTTTCAACTGCAAAAAAGTAAGCAGAAAAAAAGATGAGTCTTGTGGTGGTGTTTCGTATCATCTTTGAGTATTAACCTTTGTTAATTTTAAATATATTAGATTTTAATGTAAATATCACATTTCATTACTTCAATGCAAACTATAAAGGGCCTTATTTTCATTACGATTAAGTTTAAATTTACTTGTTCGTTATGTGACGTTATATACAATACATTCTAGTAGTTTCGACGCTACTCATTTAGGGATGCGACATATTCGTAAACTAGGTTCATATCGATAATTTTTCATCATCATCATTCAGAAAATAGATTTTTGACAATTTTTGTGTATAATTCATAAATGTTTAACTAAGATTGCATAGACACATCAACGTTTTTACCACACGCAGCGTGCATCCGTCTGTGGCAGGTGCGGGTGGTTAATCACCATTTTTATTTTATAACTAGTTTTCGCCAGCGGCTTCGTCCGCGTGCTGTGTTGATAAAAAGCAGCAAATAGCAATAGAACAAAATCTAAGTATACATAAAATTTGGTATTTATCGTCTCATTGTTATGGGTAAATACTGCGGAGACTTAGTAAGTAATAGGTTAGGTACTTACTAAGTCCGTCAATAGATAGGAAGGTACGGATCTAACTAATAGGTAAGAGTTACAAATATTTGATAAAACCTATATTATATTTTATACCGCATCGTGTCGAGCACGGCAACTGCTACACAAAAATAATTCTTATACCATGATTCAGTGTTCACTTGCGACGGCGCTATGTCTTATTATCCGAATTGCTAAGCTATCAGGAGTTACACGTGCTATTGTGAGTTAACCATAAAAGGTTACACACGCGACTGAAACTTACAAAAGGGAGTAACTTCTCCCGTTTTCCCAACGTTTTCCTTCCCTGCTCTGCTCCTATTATTTGTAGCGTGATGAAAAGTATCCTATAACCTGCCCAGGAGTATAAATAATAATTGTACCAAGTTTTGTTAAAATCCGTCGAGTAGTTTTTGTTTTTATAAAGAACATACAGACAGACAGACAGACAGGCAGGCAGGCAGGCAGGCAGACAGACAGACAGACAGACAAAATTTTTACTGATTGCAAAATTTGGCATCAGTATCGATCACTAATCGCCCCCTGGTAGTTATTTTGAAAATATATTTAATGTACAGAATTGACCCCTCTACAGATTTATGATAAGTATAGATGTTGTACATGATTTTTATCAGAGTTCCAAAAAGGAGAGTGACTCTCAATTCGACTGTAACATTTTTTTTTCGTCTCCGTTATTTATGAACCTATTTTAATGATTCTATTTTAGTTGGAAAGGAGATAAAACTTGTAGGAGCGCGTAGTGCTTTTATATGTTAAAATCGAAATCTTTAATAATAACTTGACCATCTCCAAAAAACATTAAATCTTCAAAACATATGTTAATATTTTTCTTTTTTTCTATTAGAACCTTTTTCATTACTAGTCATTTGTAGGTATATCGTGCCGATAAATTATATTGCTCACACGAATACAAAAACATCGATATATTGGGATACCCTGCCCTATCTGAGTAGCAAAATAGTAAATGTCTATTGGTACAAGTGCATACAAATGTGACATCTATTTCAAAGAAGTTAGCGTTTTGAATAGAATGAATTGATTACAGCGCCATCTAGCGTTGAGTGGCTGAACCCGTTTGTAAATTGTTTTATTTAAGTTTTTTACACGATAGACGCCTTTATTGATTGTGACATGTGAAATGATAACAACTTTCGATCATTGTTATAAGACTCAATTATTAACAACATTTAGAAGATGATTTGCTAAAGTTGCGTTTCATCTTTTTACCCAATTATATAGCTGTTTTTTATGTGTGTAATGGACAATTTGATTTGCGAATGTGTGATTTTGGCGACACTGGTTTTCCTTTTGAAAGAGTGTAGGGGCACTTCTACTTAATTTTCTGTTCTGTGGTTTTTAATATAAATAATAGATACAACTCAAATTCCGCGCCAAAATGGAAAACAGTTATACCAATCTAACAACAACAAAAAAAATTAAAATTCGAATTTGGAACCACAAAAAAAAACATTCAGTCCCGATACTTTGTTGACTGAATGTATTATTATTATATGTACATATACCAGCGACTCTCGTGCGGTTTCGCCCGCTGCTCAGCTTCAACAGACCTTCACGTGATGTTTTATAGCCTATAGCCTTCCTTGATAAATGGACTAACAAATAAAAAGAATTGTTCAATTCGAACCAGTAGTTTTGGAGATTAACGCGTTCAAACAAACAAACTCTCCAGCTTTATAATATAATTATACATATACTTAAAGGGCAGTTTCTAAATAATCACGTGGGATCGCAGTCAAGCACTAGTTTATGGCAAGTAAAAAAAAATTGTCAAATTAAATACTTTTATCGAAATGTCAAAAATGATCATTTTCTATGAAATAGTACGCTGTGACATCAGTATTATTGTTTTAACATCCATATTAAAAAAAATTAAAACGAATATGTATTTAATATATCGTAAAATTTATGAATAAAGAAAGGTATGATTGTTTTTAAGTTTTTCTATGGTTTTATATGTCGAAATAATTTCTTTTTGACTGAGAAACTACACTATTCGTCTGTTATAAGATTAGAAATTGGCTTTTTATAATTTAATGAGTTCCAAAAAAACGTAACTTAAAAAGTAAAAAGTACAGTACGGCCGACGTATCTTGGCGAGTCTGAAGTTAGCCGATTAGCTGCACAGTACACAATTTTGTTCCTAAAAGATCCATTGCGCAGACTAACGGCTAACTTTAGACTCGCCAAGATTCGTCGGCCGCACTGTAAGTCATAAAAATTGTAACTAAACACTCTTCCCTCTTCAGGACGGGTATAAACGAGCTCCGTAACCTCCAGTACCTGCCTCGCTGGAGTGAAGCGCGGGAGTTTCTCTTCGAGGATCGAACCCGCGCTCACGCAGACCATGTAGGCCACGGTCTCGACAGGATCACTACTGCTGCAGTTGGTATGTATACTTCTTAGCTTCTTATTACAAGTATACCTATTTTTTTGTCAGGGGAAAAACACCAAATGAAGAAGTCAAGTCAAACGAAATTTGATAGCGAATTTTTTAAACAAAAAATATACTTACTATAAACAATACAATACTAAATTAATTTCAGTCAATAACAAATTTTCAAATATGCTACCGTTTTTTTTTGTGAGAGGAGAAGTTATTCAGTGAAGAGTGGAATCTATCTATCTGTTCAGCTTTTGTGTATCGTAACATGACAAAATATGTATTAAAATGTTGCTTTCTTTGATTGCCAGGTGTACTAAAAGCGATCCACTGCGGCGACGAGTCGGACCGCGGCCGTATAACGAAGGACGTGGTCGCGTTCCACGCGGCCGACTTTAACAAGCTCGTGCAGCTACTACAGCTCGATCTCTACGAGCCTCCCATCTCTCAGTGTGTCACCTGGTCAGTACCATACATCTATAGGCAGAATTTTAATTCGATTCCACATTTGACATTAAATACATACATACAATAAAATTATAAACGAGAGGAATCGATCCGAAAATATTCGATTTCCATATCGAATAATTTCGCAACGTCACTATTAAGTGCATGTCATAACGTTCCAACACTGAAATTGTCAAATCTGGAATGGAATTAACATTGCGAGTATAGTATTATGAAGCTAAAGACTTTGTTTGTTTGTCTGAACGCGCTAATCTTCAAAAGTACTGGTTCGAATTGTACAATTCTTTTTGTTTTCGTTAGTCCTTTTATCGAGGAAGGCTATAGCCTATAAAACATTACGCTAAGGTTTGTATGAGCCGAGCAGCTGGTGCAACCGAGCGAAAGTAGCTAGTCTGATAGTTTAAAATGTCACAATGTTTGTTTTAAAGCGAAATGTGACGCGGGTTCGATTCCCACACGCCACAACACTTTCTGTGATCCACAAATTGATGTTTCGGGGCCAGGTGTGATGTGTGTGTGTGAAATTGTGTGTTTGAACACGCACCCTTATACAAAATAAAACGTCTATACGGGAGAAAATCCGAGTGTGGGGCAAAAAATTATTGTCTAATTATATAATTTTTTTTATGTCAAAATAAGATTTATATGGAAGCAAAGTTCAACCATTCACTGGAAAAACCGTGAAACAGGGCCCGCGTGAAGCAGGGATGCATTGCTAGTAAAATTTGAGCGAAAGTAATTGATTAATATTGTCATAACCAGGTTGGAAGAAGCGAAGCTGAACCAGCTCCGCCGCGAGGGCGTGCGCTACTCGCGCCTGCCGCTGTGCTCCGACGACATCTACTTCTTGCCCAGGAACATCATACACCAGTTCCGGACCGTCTCCGCTGTCACCTCTGTCGGTCAGTCACAAATATTATCTTATTTGATTTTCCTGAATAAACGTAGTCGCAGTGCCTGGCCAAGTTGCCGCCATTATTTATTGCCTTGGCAACTAGTTGCTACGCTTCGTGTCACACTGGTTTGATTTCCGCAAAGAACTATTCTTGATCCACAAATTGTTGTCCTGGACTGGGAGTGATATGTATGTTACATAATGGAGTAAATACTAATTGAAATATTTTCTAGATTAAGAAATTGATTAACCTTTGTGTTTTGTATGCACATTTCTTTTAATTAAAACTTTCATAGAACATTGAATTAATTGTTATGTTTAATAAGTTACTCGCGTAATTCTAGAGTAGAGATGAGTCCTTCATCAAAATTTTAAGTACAAAACTTTATTGTAGAAAGAAGGGAGGAGGAAGAAGGAGGTAAAGTCTAAAAAAAAACATGTTGGTTACAATGATTATACCATTAAAGACACAAAGTATGAAGTGGATCCAAATCTACGTTAATGGTAGTCAGAGTACCTAACAGTGCGAGTTCGCTTGAAATTGACGTGGTTCAGGCGTTGATGACGTTCGGTGCCCTCAATCAGAAGGCTTAACACAGTAACGTTTCGATCCTAAACGTAAAAATAAATATTTTGCTTACATATTTTTCACTAAAGTTAACTTTACCTTTGTCCTCTAGCGTGGCACTTACGTCTGAAGCAGTACTACCCGACGTCGGAAGCTTCCTCCCCGGCCGAAGAGCGTCCTGCCGACCCAGTACCTGTCACTATCAACCATACTACAGGTGAGCTTCTACATAATGTAACACTAGTGTCGATTTGTATGTCGTTTGTCGCATAAATGCCCATTATTTTTTAACAATATTCGGAGAATCTACGCATGGTAAAATGTACACATATTTTAAAGCAAACATCACTACAAATTTTAAAGCAAAATCGCTTTCTCTGTCCCTATGTCCCAGTATGCTTAAATCTTTAAAACAAGGCAACGGATTTTGATGATGCGGTTTTGATAATAGGTAGAGTAATTGAAGAGTAAGGTTTATGTTTAGCATTCGTTAGATAGTGAATACATTTAGTATCAAAATTATATCTGTGCGAAGCCGCTAAAAATGAGTTCTTCACTTTCGATGTTGAGTGAAATTGACTGGTGCATGCTTGGCTAGCAAATTCCAGCTTCCACGATCCATATCTACATTGACTGACTAAAGATATCAAATGAACTAATTAAATATTTTTTGTTTCCAGAGCCTAAAAAGTCAGCTAAACACAAAGCCGGTGTTATCGAAATGAGGGCACTGAGCGCGAAGTTCCACCAAAAATTAAATCAGAAGTCTGCTCTAAAAGTGGCACCCAACAGAAAGAGTGTCGAAACACAAGTCAAAAGCACAGACAAGAAGACAGACAAACAGGACACAAGCAAATCAGACAAAATTGAAGCCAAATCTGAAAAGCCAGAACTGAAAGTCGACAAAACAGAACCCAAAGTTGATAAATCAGAACCGAAGTCTGACAAGTTAGATGGTAAGCCTAACAAAATTGATTTGAAAGCTGAAAAGACTGATTTAAAGACATCCGAGAAAATTGAGCCCAAAGCAGAGAAAACTGAAATCAAAGAGAAAAATGAGAAATCTGAAAAAGTAGAGCAAAAGTCTGACAAATTAGACAAATCAGATAAAATTGAGCAAAGTATAGAAAAGTCCGAAGTGAAAAATGATAACGTAGATAAAGACAAAAATAGATCAGAGAAAACAGAAATCAAAACTGAGAAAACAGACTCAAAATCTGACAAAATCGACACAAAGTCAGATAGGACAGAAAAGTCTGACAAAAACCACAGGCACAAGGACTCTGACAAACATCGCTCAGACCGTTCAGAGAGGTCAGATAAGACAGACATAAGGCACGAGAGGTCTGACAAGGATAGGTCAGACCATCATCGCCGTCGCTCGTCATCATCGCGTCACAAATCGTCTCACCATAAGTCAGACCGACCGAGAGAACATAAGAAAGAGCACAGGAGTTCAGACGAGAGGAGAAATGAGAAACATAGAGATAGGTCTGACAGTAGTAGAGACAAGTCCGACAAGATGGCGGACAGCGGGAAGTTACCAGTGGATGTGGTCCAACGACCACCAGATTAGTGGACTAGAGTGATACAGTGAAGTGAAAGTGTTTCGTGAAGGATTTTGATCAGTAAGTATGTTGTTATAAGTTTCATCATAAGATCTTGATCACTTTTGAATTGGTTACGGAGCGGATCTCATATTTTATACGTCTGATTTGTGTGACTGATCGAGTTGGAAAATTATTAACTAATTTATTGTACTATCCTTTAGTATAATTGTTATTTCGCTGTCTATTCAACGCTATTTTCATTCGGTTGCGCTATAGAACGACAGGACGCTTCGTATAATGCCGTCTTTTTGACCGGCGGAGAGACTGTTTGTCTGCGGATTTTGAATTTGGACGTCTTTTTCAAGTACAAACTCTTTATTCCTGAAGTTTTATAGTGTAGCTTTAATTTTTAAACTGCCTGTTACATGAAACATATATTTGAAGGGGCCAAAACGACACGATTTTGCGAAAAAAATAAAATCATTGACACTTGCACTTCAATATATAATTAGGGGAATTCTAGAAAGTTGTTCAATAGCTCGGGGTCCTTCATGAAATAACACCAACTTCTTAGCACTAGGGTACACTGTAAATAATATTTATAAGCAGCCTCTTAGAGGCTAAGCAGAGATGGTTAATGAATGAACGCGCAGTTTTAGATTTTCTCTCAGTTGACGAATATGCGCGGTTAACTTCAGTGTTGCTAAATTAAAGTGGTGTTGCCAGCATATGTATTTAATAATACCAATGTTGGATTATGCCCTCAGAAATAGAAATTCTGAAATTAAAAATACATATTCTTCAATTAGATTTTAATAATCATAACTTGTAATGTTTTGATTTGTTTTATTTTATTGACAAATAACAGAAAAATTCTGTGTCAATTACGAAAATTAATTGCAATCGTATTTTGAATTGATATATGAAGATTTTACCAAGCATCTATATTTTTATTTAAATTTTAAATAATTTATTTTACCATATTTTTTTTAATCAATCCCAGTGGCCTGTAAGATATAATAAAATAATTTGAATCTTAAAGAGCAGCTATCCATGATGAATCAAGATAACTATAAATGTGTAGTTGATTTATTAAAAATATTTTTCATAAAAACTCTTTTTAAGTAAAAAAAAAGTGTAACACTGATCCCAGTCTCAATTTTTGTGTTCATTTTAATTTATTAAATTGTTCTGTTCCACAAATTGTTTGTCCATGTCTTGTATGTATATTTATTTAAAAAAATATAAATTTTAATTGTAAAATTAAAATGTTACATATATAAAAATCTAAAACTGCGTCGCGTATGTGATTTGAGAAAGTTTTAAATGAAACGTAATTGAAAGAATAATATTAATAAAATAAATAAATTTTAAGTAAATATAAATTTATTCACACATATTTCTAAAAATTGCACTAGAAGAGTAAATTATTAAATATATATATTATTATTATTCTGAATAGATTACATTGTCTACTGCCGGTGACTAACTTACTCGAAATTAAATAAAAATAGACCCTAATAATAATCTGTAATTTACTTCTAAGAAACAGATTAATAAAGACAGATTTTTAATAATATTCGTAACATATGTGGTAGTATCTTTTTAAAAACTACCATTCACTTTATTTATTTGCTCTTGCAACACTAGTTAGTGTTGCTACATACACGCACTCTGGCAGTAGACATCATATTTGAGGTTATTTCTCAAGTTTTATAGATTCATATATTTTGGTACATGCCGAGTTTTGTGACCACTCTTTGTGAAAATAACTGAAGAATGTATTTACATCTTTATTTAATTTTAAACAAGTCCTTGAAAGTGCTGCAACATTGAGGGATATGATTATACTCTGTTTAGATTATTTTTTAATAGTATCTATCAACTCAGAAAAGCTACTAATTTCAAGTTACGTAGCATAGTAGCATGCTATATTTTCGAATAACAAATACTTTTAGTAAAATTGTATAACTATAATAGGGAGATTACTTTCGTACCCATCACGAATTTCTTCATTTTTCTATGTATAAGCCTTATAGATTATCTGGCTCTTTTTTCGTTTTACTTGGTTTACAAAAAACTTTAATCTTTTCATAACATTTTTAATTATTATCACCATCGCTATTCGCGCGTGCCTCAATCAAATCTATCGGGTTTTGCGTGAAAATATATCGATACATTCTCACAAACTTTACATTTATAATATAATAATGTCTGATGCTTTTAACTCGTATAATTATTTTTTTATTAGTATGAGAATCCAAATAGTTTTGCATTGATTGCAAGCGGTTATTAAACTCGGCCATAACAGTGTAAAGCATTCAACAGTTATAAAAAAAAAACAAATGCAGTGGTTACAAAAACAAATAAAATAACCTTTTTAAAAGTCATTGAATGTAATAGAAATAGTGTTGGGATTGCGTTGAAGTGTTTTAGCCGCTCCATAGCTTCTTATTTTGTAATACAAATGTTACTATCTAACTTAATCATTAAGATGTTTTAATACGTGGTGCGAACTAAGCCTTAGTATCGTCTAATATACGTGTCTTATAAATTCTCCAATTTTATTGATAGTCAAATGTTTTCAAGTTGCTGTCCCTAGATGGCGTTTTTTGTATAAAATAGAGTGTTGCCCTTTTATTGTGTGTATTGTGAAATGATGAGAAATTATTGATAATTATTTGATATGGGGCTTCTTATCCCAGATTTGAGTTTACCAGTGAGAATATCCTTAACATTTTAAAAGTTGTCTTACGATTCTCGTCATTTAAACCATCTAGGCAACTAGGGATCTTAAAATTTACTTTATGTACAATCAAATTCATTATTGTGAAGTTATTATAATTGGAATAGTGTATATAAAACTTGGCTCGCACCACATCCCACAGTACTAAAAGCAGCAATAATATAGTGACTTGTCCGTTAAATAAACGCCCTATCTGTTACTTAGATGAAGACAGTATTATTAATGTTTATAGAGAAATCTAGTGACGAACTTAGCCCTCTGCTTATCCTAAGGAAAGCAAACAGCATCTTATGTGACTTATGACCTGATTTTACTAATTTATTAAAGCGACATCTGTTGGTGTCTCTTTAGAAGTTGAAAGTGTGTGTCAATAGATGGCGCTGCAGTCAGCGAGCGTAATTTATTTTCTCTCGGATTACAAGTTATCGTGATTCTTTGTCATTGCTTAGGTAAGATCGTCGTCTTGCGTTTATGGGAAATGCATTGTTGATCTGTCCTTAAATACGGTAATATGGTACTAAATTAATGTGTAAAAAGTTCAGCTCAAAATACTATTTTCCATCAAACGCAAAACATATAAGTACCTACCAAATGTATATAAATGTCAATCGAAACTAATCACAGAATTTTTCAAAGATATAATTTATATTTTGCGCAAACATTTTTTTTTTTCGTAGCTATAACGTTGATTTTTTATTTTATTTTAAAGAGTAAGAAAATTCGTGAGTTTAAGTTAGCCCAGATTATTTGCGATCGAATGTACATTTTGTATATTTTATACTGCATAGATTAAGTGTTATGGAATAATAGATGTCTAGATTTACTTATGGGACGTTCAAATTTTATTGTTATAAAATTATATAAGTCAATATTTTTGCATAATAAATAATTTTCGGGGTAGGCGCTGAGTTTGAAAAAAGACTATTTTGTCTAAAAGTTTATTTATTCGAATTGGATGTGGAGTTTTAATAATGCTTCCATAAGTAAACCTAATCATGTGAAAGGTATGAAAACTCGAAGGGCTGGTAGTTTATCCAAAAGACATTTGAAATGTTGTAAAGTAATTGTAATTTACAATTTAGCAACATATAACAATCGCCTTGAGAGGACAATACCCTCTGAAATTGTTTTAATAATTTAAGAGTTTTCATTTAACACATAAGAATGTGTTAACTTCGATCATAAATATGAGAGAGTGAATATTTTTGAGTCAATGTCGTCGTGTGCTAGTCAAAGCCAAAATCAAACTGAAATCAAGTCAAAAACATTTTCTTGCCTTAATTTTACAGTCAAATTATTCATCAAAATTTATTGATGTCAATTCGAATAACTTCAATGTCTACCACACTAGATGGCGCTGTACTAAACTTTTGAATATTTTGGTTTGTTTCTGGCAGATTTGACTAGCTGGCGAGTCTCAAGTCTGAAATGCAGACATTTTTGTGATTGATAAATATTTAACATATTTATGTTTAGGTGGTTAATTTATTGTTTCACGTTCCCTATATTTTTTTGAAAATAATAATTAGATTATAAATAGATTTTGTCGTTTTATTTTGTATTATTACCCTTTTGCAGATCCTGTAATGATCAGAATAAATAAAATATTCTTTATTGTACACCATAATAATAAAAACACAGGAAAGCGGTCTTGTCGCTCGCTATAAAGCAATTTCTTCCGGACAACCTTTGGATGGAGTTAACTGTAGAATTTGAGACGGGCAATTTATATAATGTATATACCGTAAACTGCATAACGGTAAAACGGGGCGAATAGAATTCGAGGGGTGAATAGACACAGAAGAGGGGTGAATATATACAAGGAAAATTCGCCAACATCTATTCACCCCTTTCGTGTATCTATTCACCCCTCAAATTTTATTCACCTTACGGTACCTAATATTTAAGGATGTAATGAATAAATAAGTCTAAGATAAACAAAAATCAAATACAACAATATGGCATAATACATACTGAGCCATGCAGTGATAATTCCCCATTTACTATATTATATAAACTGCACGGTCGGCGCGATGGCTGGACAACAGGCTGCCACGGGTTTGATGCCCGCACGGAACAACTTTATGTGATCCACAAATTGTTGTTCCGGATCTGGGTATGATGTGTACCTATGTTTGAAAACACACCCACGACACGACAGAAAAACCTAGAATGAAGCAAAGTTTAAAAAAAAAGGGTTTAAACTGCTTGCGACTGCGCATGTCTATTTGTCACTGGTAAAGCATTCCACAAACGTGTGTACAGCAAACGACTTATCACAAAATTACGTGGAATCTTCAATTTTTGTTTTTCTGATGGCCTAAGAGATCCTGAATGCGTGTCACACACACACTCAACGGGTAAGAATCTTTTTCACCCAACGACCCCTTTGTCGGGTCAAACAGAATACCGTATAAAATATAGCAATGAAAGTATATGAGCATTCCGACGAATTCGTATTGGAAGCCACTTAAGCTTAGCACGAAATTCTGTCACATGATCGCACTTGCGCAAACCAAATATAAATCTTATACGAACATTTTGAAGTCTGATAACTTTATTTATTTGGTCCTCTTTGAGATCAAGAAACATACCTGGCGTCGGCGAAGTCAAGAATAGGAAGTAGGAGATATTGCAACAGCAACTTTTGTGGCAATAGGCAAGCAAATAAATGACCGTCGACTGGTTTCCTGAATAGGAGGCTCTCAGGACATTTCGCTATCAATTTATATCCCTAAGTTAACCTAACCTTAGTGCTAAACGGTACCTGGATGCCATCAAACATAACCTACGGGAGGTCTACGGCAATAAAAATCAGCTGGGTTTTTAATGGAATGGCACTAAGCCCGTAGCATCTGTTCCACTCGGCTATTTGGAAAATGTTTATCATCCATTCGAATAGCTTCGGATAATTCACACGATAGGTGAATTAGGTTGATCAGCATCAGCAGCGATCATCGGCATAAAGGTGGTAAGTGAAAAGCAAATTATTTGAGATAGAACTAACCCGTTATATGCATACATAGAGCGCAGATCCACACGAGACACAGTGTTTTCTATGTTTGTCATATACCGACAGACGAGAGCTTAATAGATATAGCGAAAACTATTGGAGATAAAACATCTCCCTGCGACACACATACAGCCGTTTCACACCCCTGATTTTATCTTCAATACAAAAACGTTACCGGCGTCAATGCAGATTGACTATGGATCAAATCAGTCGCCGTTCGAGATATGTAAAGAGAGCTAAGTATACCGAGCAAGATACCAAACTCGACGGTGTTAAATGCGTTACTGAAGTCTTAGCAGTGCTAGTACCTTTTACTCGCTGTTTTCCATGCCCAGTCTGATTCCATCCGAATATTAACCAGTACTGTGACCAAC